CTATGCACCAAGAGCTTGTAACACTCCAAAGAGAAAGGAAAAATTGAAATCGCATCATATGACCCCTTTAATCAACATCAACAGGTTTGCTCATGTGCGAGACACCGAGACTGAAGCTTGAATCCTGTCGTCTGAACATCAAGACCTGTCAGGACCACATAAACCGAAAGTCCGGATCTCAGAACAGAACCCAATTGTCTGCTTTCTGTAAATCCCAGATCTAGTGTCTTAAAGGAATGTTCTGGATTAAATACAACTTAAGCTCTATCAACAGCTTTTGTCGTATACTGTCAATTTGCACATTAGAGAATAATTTAGACACTTTCCAAATTGAAAATTAATTTACAATTCATTGTTTAAATTACAATCAGTGTTATTTGGTATATTATTATAGTATTTACAATTATTATTATTTTTTTTTTATTAATATTATTTTATTAAGTTTAAGTTTTAGTAATTTTATGTGCTTCTGTCTTTTTTTTTTATATATATAGCTTTATTTTTTTATTTTACTTTTAGTTTTAGTAATCTTAGTACTTTGATTTTATTTAGTTGCCAAGGCAACATTTCTTTTTTTTTTTTTATTCAACAACCAGTGAATAGCACAAGTCCTATTACAGAACAGGATCAAAATAGAGAAAGATAACAAAACAAACAAATAATAATAATAACAGCAAAAAAAATTTAATCTATTTAGCTTTATTTTATTTTTAGCAATTTTAGTACTTACATTTTTTTTTATTTTAATTAGTTACTAAGGCAACATTTAAATTTTTTTTAGGTTTAAGTTTTTCATCTTATATTTTATTTTAGCTATAAATGCATTAAATTACTGCAGTGCAATGCATTTATAATAATTATATAATAATTATAAATTCATTAAATTACTGCAGAGTGAAAATGTTTTAAGAGCAATGTTATTTTGAACATTGAGATACTATTATTGTTTTTATTAATATTTTGAATAATTTTTTGGTATATTTTCTGTTTTTATTTAAATTTCAGTCTTTAGGTTTAAGTTTTTCATCTTATATTTTATTTTCAAATAATGAAAACTATTTTTAACCGTTTTAATTACTCACTCATTACAATGAAATGCAGAAAAGAAGGTTACACGTCTTTAAAATCAGTGTTTGCATCAAAATGTATGGTTTTGAGTTGTAATGGTTTTCTTCACACAAAATGTGCCTTGCAGTTTTCATCCCTTTTTTATCTGGTCATGACATTAGCTGAAAGATATGATGTTATGGGAATTAATTTGGGACTGATTTAGCATGCGTATGTGTGTGTGTGTGTGTGTGTCTCACCCTGAGGAAGTATCTCATATTCTTGTTGTGGAAATCTCCAGGAGGTAGTAACAGGTACAGCAGCACTTCACATAGATCCCGCAGGTAACCTGCACCAAAAACAATTAGACATCAATTAATTATACCATTAAAAAGGAATCTAAAAAAAATAAACCATTTTGTAAAACCAATTAAGACCATAAATTTTATAAAGAGATCTGCAGAAACCCTGTATTGTATGATTTCAGATGTCGTTGAATGAAGCGCACAAGTTGTACAAACTTCATTTATGGTGTTTTTTGTGCATTTTTTACACTAAGCAGCTACTTTTCCCATTCACTTTCAGTGTGTGGAAAACAGCAGCGTAAACATTCATCAAAACATCTCCTTTTGTGCTCCACGGAAAGAAGAAAGTTGGTTTTAGAAAGATATGAGGGTGAGTAAATGATTTGTGATCATTCATCTGATAATGATGATGGAATGCAGTGGTGATAACGACATCTTTTATATTCACAGGGCACATTTATACACACACCTCCACCCAAAAATGATTTTATTGTTTTCTTCTATTACCAGACAGAGCTCAAAGCATTAATAACTGGGTGTGTGTTTGTATTTTTTGCTAATCAAGTCTTTCAGCTGATCTGGCTTTTAAGATCTGCCCTAGATAATTATTACTATTGTTGACATAAAGCAAAACCACGCCTTGAATCACTGGGCTGGAGTCTCTGAACCGTCTATAGACACAAATCCTCCGTGTTTGTCTTACCTTCTTCATCCTTGCGTGACATGCAGACAACATCTCTACAAATCTTCCTCTCCATTTCCACCTCCGCCTCAAAAAACGAGTCCAACAACTCTTCCGGAGCGTCACCTGCCGCAAACACACAAATACATAAGCTCACACTATGAGTCAGTAAAATCAAGTTCCCAATCAAGATGCCCTGTACTCAGTGAACAGGAACTGGCATTAGGAAATCAACTATGTTTTACACGCTCTTAACAGTTCTAGACCTGATACTGAGATCTTTACACCACGTCCATAAAATGCTCTAGGTTGCTCTTCTCACTTGTAATCCAACTCTTTTTTACAAGGTTAGTTAACCCAAAAATTTTAATCTTGAAAATAGCATCATTATCATTCCTCAAAATACAGTATCTACTTCTGCATTTCAAAGAGGAAATCAAGTTAGTTGGGTTTGGAAAAACATGAGAGTGAGCAAATGATGACAATTTTTTTATTTTTGCTTCATTACAGCAACACTTCATTGCATTAACACTTTACATTCTGGTTTAATTTGTTAACATTGGTTAACATGAACTAATAATCTAAAAAAAGGGTTATTTTAGCATAATTAAGATGTCGTTATAGCAATATATATTACCATTTTGATTTAGCTTTTATTTTTATATTTGCTGTTTTAATTTTAATAATTAATTTTAAATTAATTCATTTGAGTTCAAAATAGTAATTATTTTTTTTTGTGTTTGTCATTTTTATTTATTTATTTATTTATTTATTTATTTATTTGGTACCAATACCAGACATAGTTTTCAATATTTTTCATTGCAGTTTTAGTTTTAGTTATTTAAATTCACCAAGATAAACTAAATGAAAATGAGAAATGTTTCTTTGGTAACCAGCTGAAATAAAATAAGTTTAAGTTTTTAATATTTTCTTTCAGTTTTTTTTCTTTCTTTTTTTTCCAAGTAGCAAACGCTGTTTTTGGTTGTAGTTTTAGTTAATAATAACCCTGCAAACAATGAAAAATATTTTTTAAGCATTTATTAATCTTAGTTAAAGATATTTTAACATTTAATAATACATTATTAAAATAAAATCTGTTAATATTATTTAATGAACACTTGTATTTATTAACTAATGTAAATAAAGATGAGTAAATACCGTAACAAATGTGTTACTTATAAATGCATGTATACTCATTGTTGAAGTGAATTCATGCATTAGCTACCATTAACTAATGGGACCTTCCTATGAAGTGTTACCAGTATTGCCACTGATAAACTGTTTGTTTTGGTTTTGCAGACAGCGTGAACTGAGGAGAGAACAGAATGATCATTACGTTGTTTCGGATCTTCTCTCTCATTTAGCCTCTCCTGAGCTTTCCTGAAAACACGCAGATGAGTCGCGAAATCATCCACCAGTCTGGTGGTGAAATATGGCTGCCAGTCCACCTCTTTAGACCTGAAGAATGGAAAGATTGAGCGCTTAATGAATCATGGACTTAACAGTCTCCATTTCAACACTGTGTTTACCAGAGAAAATGTATCAGAACATCTGAATGCAGTGTTTGGTTTGTGGTCAGGTGTTGCATCATCCCTGGAAAAACCACAGCGTCACTCACAATGCTGATACAGCAGTGATTTTAAAGCAGATCTGAGGGGAAACGAGTCGGACATGTGTCTTACCTGGTGGAGAACTCAACGAGGGCGTTCTGGACCGTCTGACGGATCTCCAAGAGGAACGTTTCATCATCACTCAATGTGTAATACCAATACTGGATATAGTCCCTCAAAGCAAACTGGATGACCTGATGAACGACATGAGAAGAGGATCAGACTAGCTTTTCCTGAAACAAACAGGGCCATATGAAATCTGTTTTATTTTCCCCCAAATTCTGTTCTTCTGTTGTAATTTTTCAGAATTTTTTATTTTTTTTCTAAATTCTGTTAAACTCTTAAACTTTAACAATAAAAAAGCATGTCTAATTTATTGAAATCATAAAACTTACAAAAGTCTATTAAAAGTTTCACAAAAAAAATATTTTAAGGGCGCTAAGAAATAGGTTTTATTGATTCTCAAATAGTTTTTTTTTTTTAGCAAATTCTGTGTTTTTGTTTTACATTTTCTGTATTACTGTTTTTATGCGTTTCTTTATTTTAATGAGTTAATTAATTTTGAATAATCAATTTTATTATTAATAATAATAATGATAATAATAATTATTATTATTAAACTGAAATATACTGTCTGCTGTGCAACAGTAATTTATTTCTGTCACAATTCCTTCAAGTTAAACTGAACTTTTATTTTGACGGGTTGCCGTAAATGTGTGTATATATATGACAGTAGTTTTTCTCAAATTAAAAGATAAAATGCTCATGAAGAATTTCAGAAATCCAGAAAAATAACACTGAATTTCCGAAAAAAAAAAAAACCCATTTAATTTGGCCTTATTATTGTAAAAATAAATAAATAAATAATAAGAAATTATTAATTTGTTAAAGTTGTATTCATTAAATTAATTAGACATCAATTAATTATACCGTTAAGGGAATCTAGAAAAATGAAATGGAAAACACAGAATTTGGGAAAAATAAAAGTGAAAAAAATAAACTGGATTTCATAGGGCCCCACAAGGAAATTTATTTTTCTGGATCATGTGCTCTCGGTTCATTTTGGCACAGACACAATGACCCATCACTTCGCCGCAAAGGACTCTGGGTAGACATTCCTGCGCAGATGTGAAGCTCAGCAGAACAGACTGAGAGCTGGAGCTGCTGACACCCTCTCATGACTGTCTGTAACTTAACGCAATTTCCTTAAAACCTCAGACTTACATAGGATGAGTTGCACAACAATTTCACTCACAAAGAGGTCTTATACTATGGGACAAGATGCTGTCATACCATGGAAAACCAGATACTTACTGTTTTTTTCTCACATCTGCAAGTATCTCCAGTCTTCCCAGAGCAGTTACTGAAACTAAACCACAAAAATCAGGAACCATTTTTGAACACATCAGCTTTTGTTCCAAAAACCAAGTCTGCTGCTGACCTAGACAACATTTTTAGGCAACACTCTCATGGAGTCTCAACTCTTAGCTGCGTGATTGTTAATATTGTTGGAAAATGTAACCATATCATCGCCCAGCTCTTTATATAAAGAAGGATATATTAGTATGTCCAACTTTTTCTGCAAACAGTGCACTCACAATATTATAGAAAAACAGCACTTTGTTCCAAAATTTCCAAAGAATTAAAATAAAAAAATAAAAGCTAAAAGCGTAGCATTAAAAAAGTGACCCTAGCAGATAGTGTTGTCACGGTACCAAAATTTCAGTATTCGGTACCAATACCAGTGAAAATCCACGGTTCTCGGTACCAATTTCGGTACCAAAGCAAAACACAAAAAACATGCTAATTGAACAACATTTTTATTAATAACGTTACACAAATATTAAATGTACAAAACCAATGCCATTCTTTATACTTAAAAGTGTTTCAAGTTTTCCCACAAGTAATAAAAGTATGAAAAAAGTAAACAAGTTTCACCCAAAAGTTTAGTCATAGTTCTGCTGCCACTGAAAAACAAGAATATATGCATTGTAAGCAGACTTAAAGCCAATTCAGAAAAGCACTGACTGAAAACGATTGTGTCCTGCTCATCTGCTTTATGAAAAAAAACAGACCAGCCTAAACTCTCAAACGAGCTGATCCAGCGTCTGACGTGTGTCACAGATGGAAACAAATGGCATTTGTGAAGCGAAAGCTCGACAGTCTGAGACCAGCTCATCAGTAGACAAACCACAGGTTCCTCAAGCACATGAACGTGCACTTTTAGCTGTCGCGTTCATTTGTCCGTTTGGTTTTGTTGACGGTACCTGCTGCAGTGGCTCATCTATGATACTGGATCCTGTCAGACGTCGATCAATCTTTATAGGTCTGGACTCTGATTTAATCTCCTCCAAAACCTGACAAACAAACACAAAGAATTAAAACTCAGAAGTTGAACATGAGTGCAATTCGAAGTCAACATGAAATAAAAATGAGCAATTTACTTTCTTAATAAATGTTAATGATTTTGTCATCATAAGTACTAGGGTTGGGTACCGAAACCAGGTACCAATATGGCACCGGTACCTATGTAACCGGCATGTACTAGAACCGAATCAGAACACAGATTTCGGTGCCTCATTTCGGTGCCATGCCTGAGCGATCGACTGAAATATTTGTCCTCTGGTTCTCCGAAACGGACGTAAGAAGCATCATCACCGGCACCGCACGTGAAAAATAATTTCCCGACTGAGAAAATGCATGTGAACTCAAGTCGGAAAGTTCTAATTTGCCGCCTTCTCCCGCAACGTGTTTCGCTCCCGCGATTTTCGTGTCCAGTCCTTTAAACATTCTAATATTGTGTATAATTTTGGCGCATCAGGGAGCCGCTCTCAGGATGCCGTGTATTTAAATATTTTTGAATGAGCGTTTGCGATGTTTACTTTCACTTTCGATTTCACAATCACACGCGCACTGTGTAAAGGGAGCACATCTTACTCTGGTAGCTCTTGTTAGATGCAGGGTTGCCAAGTCCGCGTTTTTTCCACAGAATTGGGCTACTTTTAAACTGTTGCCATGGCTTGATTTTCCCAAGTGGGTTAAAAGTTTGAAATATTGCATAAATTACATTTGACTGAAATGCTTGTATTGAAACATTTTGCATTCTACCCTCCTGGTGGAATGACCTGCCCAGCTCAATCCAAGCAGCTTAATATTTTCAAGAAACGTCTGAAAACACATCTCTTTCATCTTCATTTGACCCTCTAACTCTAGCACTCTCTATTCTAATGCTACTTCTAATTTGATCTGCTTGTTTTTTTTAATTAAAAAACTTGACCCTCTAACATTTGCACTCTCTATTCTATTTCTGTTCTAATGGCCAATCCATCATTTTTTGGGGGAATTTTTATTTATTTATTTTTTAATAAGTATCGGTTCAGGCACCGGAACCGTTTTAAAAGTATCGATTTGGTACCGGGATTGAAAAAAACCCAAACGATACCCAACCCTAATAAGTACACAGAAACTCCACAGAAGGTTTTCACAAAACCTGTCAAAATAAATGTTCGGTTTAACTTAAAGAAACTGTGACAGAAATATTTTGTATGGTAGAATGCACTTCTCAAATTAATAGTAATAACTACAAAAATAAAACTTAATTTTTTTAAGGAATATCACAAATGTTTACTTTCATGTTTTAATATTATCAAAAAACACTTTGTTACAAAATTTCCAATATAATAATATATATTTTTAAAGATTAATTTCATTGTTAATGGTTTTATGCCTTTATTTGATTACCACTGCTTTTCCAGATTTTTTAAAATGATTTATTACATTTAATTAAAACATTTTAAGAAAAAAGCTGCCTGTCATACTTAAAAAAAAAATATATATATTTTTAAAATTTTCGATTTTTAAAATGTTAATAAACTATTATTATTAAATTTAATCATTACATTTTTTAAATTACATTATTATAAAAATATTTCATTTAATTATTAATTTTAATAAAATGTAAGAAAAAAGCTGCATGTCATACTTTATTGATTAAATGTAATACAAATGCTTTTGTGTGTTGTGGTAAATAGGGTTGGGTACCGAAACCCGGTACTAATATGGCGCCGGTACCTATTGGCGCTTTTCCACTGCGTGGTACGACTCGGCTCGGTACGGCTCAGTACGGCTCGGTTTGCGTTTCCATTTCCCGACTGAGAAAATGCACGTGAACTCAAGTTGGAAAGCTCCAATAATACAAATCCAACACATCTTTGTAATAACGAGAGTGTCCATGTTGTTTTCACATTCCGACTTAAAAGCACAAATCGGTAAATGAGAGCATCCGAGGAGCGCGTGAATGCAGTAATTACACTTGCTCTGATCGTGTCCACTCCTTTAAACATTCTAACATTGTATAAAATTTTGGCGCATCAGGGAGCTGCTCTCAGGATGCGGTGCATTTAAATATTTTTGAATTAGCGTTTGCGTTGTTTACTTTCACTTTTGATTTCGTGATCACACGCACTCGGTGTAAAGGGAGCACATCTTACAAGATCAGATATTTGTCAATGAGCTCAGGATCTGTTTTCATTTGACCCTCTAGCTCTAGCACTCTCTATTCTGATGCTACTTCTAATTTTATCTGCTTGTTTTTTTTTATTAAAAAACTTGACCCTCTAACATTT